TAAACGAGGAAGAACTTATTCAGCATCTCACTGATGCTGAGGTCCCACAGGGATCTAGCATCAATCTGGATGCTTCTACCCAAGAAGAAGACGAGGAATTAAGCGCCTTGCCTGAAGGACTAGCGTTTGAGCGGGAGGCTGCAAGTTATCCACATAGAGGGTTTGAACGTGATCCCACGATTACGCAGGGTGAGACTGGCAGGACACTAGTCGTAGGAGATCGCAATCGAGAAGAGCCTGACGGGACTGATCACCCCTACACGACCGCTCGATTCACTCCCTACCTGACCCCGGAGACTTGCCCTCTACGGCCTGCTGCCCTTCTGGTCGCTACTATCAGAGAACCTCCCGTGAGGAAGGAGGGGGAAAACCCCCCTCAGTTACGAGCTGCCAAGATGGTGCATGTCCCACCTAGCGCTGGCACTTCCCTGGGACGAGACGGCGCAAATGGAGCCCCTCGTGTCATTTCAACTCCGAGCAGTTACTGGGAGGCCGCATTTAATGCCGGACGACTCGCATCTGTGAAAGGGACCTGGAATGGCAAGGTGGTGAGTAAGCGGAAGCTTGAGAAGCAGGCGAGCTCGGCCAGCTGCCACCCTGATAGCGGAGAACCTCAGTCTACGGGAAGTCGGGGGGAATCTACTAAGCTGATGGATTCTCCCAATCGCAAAACACAATCTGCAAAGCTGACAGATTTAGGTGACGGCCAACGCCGAATACACCGGCGAGACATGCCAATATTGCCAAAAAGGCATAAAGACCTCAAGAACCATCCACTAGGTGACCTATTCCGCGAGGCAGAAAAGACTCATCTTGAAAGCCATAAAGAAATGCGCTCCTGGCGTGAGGTTCAGAGAGAAGAAGCAGCAGGCAAGGAACTCCTGGACTGCATGTGGGTTTATGTGTACAAGTTCGACAAGCACGGATGGTTCACCAAGTGCAAGGCCCGGCTCGTTGTACGAGGCGATCAACAGGCAAAGTCGACACACGAGGATACCTATGCATCCACACTTGCCGGCAGATCTTTCCGAACACTCATGGCTATAGCTGCTCACTTTAATTTAGAACTTCTCCAGTATAATGTCGTCAACGCCTTTGTCAATGCTGAACTGAAGCAGGACGTCTACATGCGGATGCCCGGAGGCTACCGAAAGCCTGGCCTGATTCTCAAGCTTCAGAAAGCACTATACGGCTTGCGCCAGTCACCATTACTTTGGCAAAAGGAACTAACCACCACCCTTACGAACATTGGGTTCAAGTCTGTACCTCACGAGCCATGCTGTCTCTCGAAAGGAGGAATATTGATATTCTTCTATGTGGACGACCTCATTGTTGCCTACGAGAAGACCAATCAAAGATCGGTCGAATGGATGATAGGCAAGCTTCGAGAAAAGTACCAACTCTCTGGAGGAGATACGCTACAGTGGTTTCTTGGAATTGAGATTATTCGCGACCGAAACCAACGTCTGATTTGGCTGTCGCAATCGTCATTCGTGGATAAGATCACTAGTCATTTTAGGATTCAAGGGGGAAAGCCTTCCCTCACTCCAATAACCACGAAAGAACTTCTTCCGAACGAAGAGCGCGCATCAACAGCGTCAATACAGCAGTATCAACACAAGACCGGATCAGTGCTCTACCTGGCAGTAATCACTCGACCCGATATTGCCTTTGCTGTTTCTCGACTTTGTCGATTCAATATGAACCCGAGCGACGATCACCATGAGGCCTTGGACCACCTATTGCGGTATCTGCAAAACACCAGGGCACACGCACTACAACTCGGCGGAACAGACACTTTTGATGTGTACAGTGACGCTTCCTTTGCCGACAACACAATCGATCGGAAGAGCTCGCAAGCCTACGTGATGAAGCTATTTGGAGGGACTATTGGATGGCGCGCCAACAAGCAGGACACCGTGACTACCTCTACAACAGAGGCGGAGTTGCTGGCACTTGCGCAGGCTGCGAAGGAGTCCATGTTCATCTCCAGATTAATCACCGAGCTCGGCGTGACCCTTGACAACAGAAGCATCATCATTCAGTGCGATAACGCGCAAACCATTCGGCTTATTAATTCCGACGTGGCGCTCCTGCAGACCAAACTTCGACACGTCGACATCCATAACCACTGGCTACGCCAGGAAGCACTCGCTAACCGGATCTCAGTCCGGCATACTCCCACCACCAAGATGATTGCAGACGGCCTCATGAAGGCATTACCCGCTCAGCAGTTCCAGAAGTTCGTCACACAGGTTGGCCTAGTGGATATCAAGGACAGGATTCAAGAGAGAAGGACCAAGGAACTCACTGCGGAGGACTTTGTCAGAACAGAGGAACATCTCGATGGAGGAAGAGCCGAATAAGGGATCGGATGGATGGCCAACCTGACAATAGGAATACGGACTGCACAGACTGAGCCACGATGGCCAGTCTGGGGGGGTGTGTTGAACAGGTGCTGGGGCCTCACGTGCAAGCAGGGATACTTTAAGATTACAGCCGAAATGGTAAAACCTCTAAGGGGTAGATTTCAACAGAACACAACATGAATACACCAATTCACGTCAATGAACCGAATACACGTAATGTCTGACAATAATAACTTTACTAATTACCATAACAAGTCTAAGGATATAAATTATATTTATTTGCATTTATATAAACTTTTTAGGGTTAAGGCTAAAGTTGGGTTAGGATTAAACTATTTAAGCTAATATACTTTAAGGTTTTATTATAATTAAAATATAATTTAAAGTTAAGTAATAAGGTAAAGAAGGCATATTATAAAAGATATATAAGGTAAGAAAGTTATATATTTATTTATTAGCGTGTTTTTTTTTAATATAGGAATTTAAATAGAATTGCTAGTAATTCTGCCACGCAGCTAAGATAGGGTTAGAAGGACCGAGCTCTGTTATAGGCTTAAGCGCCATAGCCTCATGAATCAGTTCTAAAAAGAATTAACAATAATTGCTGGCTAGATCTCACATTTGTCGAGACAGATGCTGATAAATTGGAGCCAGAACTTAACGCGCTGCTATTAAAGTATTATCTTGCCTAAAAGTATACCTAAGCACCAATAAGAAATCCAAGTCAACCCCCTATCAAAGTTAAGTCTACCCTAACGCTAGTCAATTGTTCGAAATTCAAGTCTACCCCCCATAAAGCGGGGTAAATTAAATCAATTATACAACAATTAATTTTGGACTATAGGACTAGGATTCCAAGTAAGGTTCTCACATTGAATAGTATAGGTCTACTGTTGTGGATCTTTTTACATACTATAATTATCCTTAAGAGAATGGTAATTAAGAGGATCTCTGCTAGTTAAAGATTAAGAATAAGGAAGTGACCCTTAATGCTTAATAAATAAAAGTAAGCCATTTAGCTTTATAGTTTAAAGGTATATGCCTTTTGACTTAAATAATATATAACACCCTTATAATCCAAAGCCTTTAAATATAATGATTTTGCATCTTAATTATAATAATAATAAATTAGGCTTAATTATAGTTTAGGTAAGACTATTTAAGAAATATAGGTATTACACTAAGCCCTTTAACTTTACATTTAATTTTAATATAATTTAAATTAAGAAGATTATCCAAATTAGACAGATTATCTATTAATTAATTATATAATTACTCTTAAATAGTTAATTACTAAACTCTTTTATTTAACAAGACCTTACCTTCCACGCGTTCTCTAGTAATTAATCTGCAAAACATGTCATGCTACACCACTGTAAAACAACTGCATAATAAATTTCCAAATCAGGAATATGAAGAGAAGGTCTGGCAGGTCAAGAGCTTTAAGACATAGGTGGGCTAGTGCTGGAAGCACCGAGTTCAAGATTAGCAATCAATAATTTGTTAATTACTAATCAGAACGCACAAATCAAGACTGGAACGAATAATAATTAAGAGCATCTTGGCAGAACATGTATTATAAAACCTCTAGTAGTATCCGTACTTTGTAATCTTAGTCAGGAAATATTATAATAAAACGCCAATACATGCCACTATTTACAATAGGCGAGATTTCCTGCATAGATTAACAATTTGTCTTCCCTTTTATAAGACACAAATCCTAAACATAACTATATTAAAATAAGTTTTTAATTTATTAATTAATCATATCCCGCCGCATCTTTGTTATCGGAGCTACAGGAGCTCAAGGCCTCCCCGTCTATCGTGGCCTCACCAAAGATAGAGCCTACAGCCTATAAGTGCTTACCTGTAACCCCAACTCTAAACAAGTAAAACAGTTAGCTAAGCTAGGCGATATTAAGTTTATTAAAGGCTCTTTTATAAATAAAGATAATTTGCAAAAGGGTTATACTAAATATTAAGGCGCTTTTATTAATATTAATAGTTTTAATACTAGTAAAAAGATAGAGATATATTAAATAGTTTAGGTATATAAATTAGTAATTAAATCTAGGATTAAGTTCTTTATCTTTAGAAACTTAAAATATAGGTATAAGAAGAGTAATTATAATCCTAAGTTCTGCTATAGCTATTATAATAGTAAAGGTTAAATAGCTAAGTAGATATTAAGCCAGAGGAAGGGCTATAATATAGGTATTATATTCTTTACTATAGGCCTATATATTAAGATGGCTATATCTATATAGATAGTTATAATGCCTTAAATTATAGATAGAGTTATTACCTAAGTTATTCTTCTTATTAATAAAGCAATTCCTTATATTGCTCTTAATAACTATAAGTACTATACTTAATAGCTTTTTAACTACCTAGAAAGGTCTAATAAATTAGACCTAGAGGTTGTAATTAATTATATTATATATTATAATTTAGCTAAAGCGTTTTAAAAGGTTACTAGAAAGCCTGCTTAGTTTATTAATATTTCCTTATTAACTGACTTTAAGTATATATTAGTAAGGTTATCTATACTAGCTAGATATAATGCTAACCCTAATAACCCTGTAATTATAATACTTATATAGAACTTTACTAGTTTCTAAAATATATAGAGGTATTTAGGCAGAAATAAGAGAGTTATTTAGAGGGACTATAAGCTTTTAAATAAGATTTATCCTAGCAGAATTAAAACGGCAGAGGAGTTCTTTTATAGAGAAGAGGAGAAATATAAGGCGCAGGGACTTGGGAGTTTATTTGAGACGATTGAGAGCGGGAACCTTGGCACGATTTTGAAGTTGAGCGAGGATGGTAGGAAGGGCAAGCTATAGGTATCATAGCAAGGCTGATAAATAGTCCATTAAAGACTGCCGCCCTTTGACTTGCCTAATTCTCTGAGTTCCATTTGATACCCAAGTTTCTACATAATCAGGGCTCCCCAGGCAATAGCACCGAGTATACCCGCGTGAGTCAAACGCTCGGAACCGCTCCCCGTCTCTTGGGACGTATCGGACGCAATCACAGCTGAAGCCGATGCCAAGGCAGCAGAATTAGAACTACCTTTCACCGCATCGCAAATCTGTTGGCGCACGTCCCAAAGGTCTGGTACAAATACCGTCAGATGGCGCCTCGCAGATCTATTGTTTACTCACTTTTGAATATTTTAATGGTGCACTCGTTTTTCAGACATTGCTCGAAATGGTCTGCAAACGCGTCGCTTTGCGAGCACATACATTCTAGGTCAGTACCGGCGCAGCCAATTTCCTTTCCGGCTGTCGAGAGACACTTTATACCGCAGTCTGGCAGCGAAGAAATATCCGAAGGAAGGGCAGAAGGGTCGGTGGAGGTAGTTGCGCTGGTAGTTTCTGCGGTAGTAGAAGAAGCCGCTAAGAAGAGCGGAAAGGTCGCAAGAATAAGGAGAATACGGAAGGCCATTGTGATCCTAATACATGGTGAAAGAGCATGGGTATGTAAAACAGCGTATGATTAAAGAAGTGAAAGATGGGAATGAGCAATTAAAAAAAAAGCAGGATTCGATAGGTGTTAAAGTCTAGAGTGGTCTTACTTTGAGCTATTTATGAGGCTCGGCTTTCGGCACACTGAACATGACGTTGTGCGACTAAACCGGAATAAGCAGTCCAACCAGATTGTTGACTGTAGTGCATAGGATTAGAAGATATACACGTATATACTAGTCGTAGCCAAATTGATCAACGCATGAGTCGAGGTTTGAAGCTGCGGGAGAGCATTATCCTCGATGGTAACGTTGTACATAATTAAATGGTATTTAGGGTGGAGTTGGATCAAAAAAAGACAGAGATTGAGGTCAGTAGGCCTGTTTCTCGTCACATCGCTCGAAGATTACGTGATCGAAAGGTCTGGTTCCGTCTTCTCCGCTATAGTGTGTTAATTAGAACCCTTGAGAAGCACAACAGGAGCATCGATGGTAAACATGGAATTTACGTTATACCGGTAATGATACGCCGTATTAAATGTCATAAGACCCTGGCAAACCTGGCAGTCTAGTAGGATCCACTTCCATGCCGTCATCATCCCCCCCATCTCGTCTTTGAGGGGAAATAAGTTTTAATTAGCGCTTCTGGATGCACGTAATTAGAGCTGCATTCTTCATTACTCGATATCTGACAGATGGGGTCGAATTCTCCAATAATGAGTCTGCAAGGTGACGGAATTCGACTTCTTTGCTTGGATTGTGGCTTGGTAGGATTTCTCGTTGTTCATCTACCAGTCCTCAGCTAGTTAACTAATCATAGCCTGATGAAACGCTGAGCATATCCTTCAGGCGTGTCTCTTTGAACGACCCAACTTGTCCGCCTTTTGTCGCCTTATCATATGTCTGGGGCCATTTGGATGATACTCTGCCACTCGATATATCGGGTCAAATAATCCAAGCAACTAGAAATCTTCATCAAGTTCTTAACTATCTCTTTGCCTCTTAATTTAATGAGCTACTTTAGATTGATGCCTTATATATTAAATAATAAGATCTACGTAAATACGCCTCTCAGGTTATGTTAATGGGAGAGATCTATTTACATGCCGAATATATCCTTGCTTTCTTATTAACCGCATTAGACCCATCTAAAATAGGATTATATTATATAGAAGCAACCGCTTACAATACCTCGATATACTTCGACCCATCTCTCTTACCTTATCTAACAGTTTAAGGCCTTAATGCTATTGATAAATTTTTATAAGACCTTCTTATTAGATTTTTCGCTAGGCCTTGGTAGATAAGAGTCTGGATAGTGTAGGAGTTCCTACTAGTGAAAAATATTATATTTTAATGCGGTAACCGTCTAATAGATGCAATGACAGTATGGAAAACCTGTAGAGCTTGGATAGACTATAAGAACTCTTGCTATTGGTCTGCGCGGAGGCCTATCGATAGTAGTGCATATGGCTTCCTCGATTTTCCCAGTGAGGTTAACAGCGGCTTAATAATATTCACTGCGACCCTTCATATAAAACACTTGATGGATATGCTTATGCCTGGATAGCTACATGATGCCGATTACCTAGCGGCGATATCACTTTTTCGTATTCGGCACTGCTTAGATCCTCGGGATAGAGTATTCGGTCATTTCGGACTGCGTTTACGAGGCGTAGATATCAAGGATGAGATACCTATTGACTACGCCTTGCCTACGCTTCTAAGCACGTACCAGGATACCACTTTCAGCTTACCATCGCCGCTCCAGCAGGCTCGAGCCATTATAGCAAGCTACGCCTCGCAGATCTTGGTCGTATAGTCGATTACATCAATCTTATGGCTTACGACTATGCCGGATCCTGGAGTTCTATAGCTAGTCACAGCGCTAACCTCTATGCAAACACAGATCTTCCCCAGTCTACTCCATTCAATACTGATAATACCGTCAAAGCCTACCTTGATGCCGGGGTACCTTCTCACAAACTCATCCTCGGCATGCCTGCGTATGGAAGATCCTTCATCAGTGCATCTGGCATAGGGGAACCGCACTCAGGCATAGGCCTTCCCAACAAGGGGCTAGGTAGCTAGGAGGCTGGGGTCTGGGACTACAAAGCTTTACCTAAACAAGGTCTGAGATCATAGACGATGAGAAGGCGCAAGTATACTACGCAAGTATCCATCTGGCAGAGGCATCTGCTCTTACAATACTCCAGAAGCAATCCAGAAAAAGGTGTCCTACTCGAAGCAGCGAGGCCTAGGAGGGCTATATTCTGGGAGGCATCAGGAGATAGGAGAGGATAAGAATTGCTGGTAGGAATAAGCTTCAGATCTTTAGGAAATCTCGATCAGACAGAAAACTTACTTATTTATCCTGATTCAAGATACAGAAACATTGCTTCCGGCATGGAAGAGAGGGTATGATCTAGAGGGCATTCGAGCGATCGAATACATAGATAAAGCCCTGTCGAAAAGCAGCTCCTATAAATCAATCATTGTTTACCTTTCCCCACTAATGTTCTGGGCACATTTGGAAAATGTTGATCCTCGGGCAAAGAATTGTTCTATCCCCACCTTGTCAAACGATACAATTTGCAATCCCTCCAACTTGGCAGTCCCACCCTGACCTAATGAAGAGGAGGGTGGATTATTGCTGCCATATACATTGTCACTTCTAAGTCTCAGGGTCTACAAATGACTTGTTATGCTACTTCGCGCCTTACCGCCAGAACTTTACTTTATAATTGCTACTTTCCTCGACCTAAAAGTACTTGTAACTTTGCTTCGCACTAGCAAGCAAATTCACCCTATCATTGACGACATCTTATATTACCGCGATGCGAAAAGCGACAGCCTAGCTGCCCTACTTTGGGCTGTAAGGAAAGGAAGGTTAAACACGGTCAGGAAAGCCATCAGTGCTCACAAGTGGCAGTGTACTTCCCATGATATAAAGTCCGAATGCACAATTCAATCGAAATTAAACATAGTCCTTTGCCTAGCATCATCAGGAGGGCATATATATATTGTCAAATTTCTTCTTGATGAAGGCGCCGATGCTGATGCACAAAGAGGAAGGCGCGCAACAGCCCTACAGCTAGCATCATTACATCGCCACGAGAAGATTATTCAGATTCTGCTCAATAATAAAGCTCATTAGTACCATACTAGCTATATTACATTTAGTTTAGTATTAACTTATTACTTCTTGATATGCTTTGACGAAATTTTGAAGAAAGATGCCGAGACTGCGGCCCTCTTATTTGCTCGAAAACTTCTCGATGCTAGCGACGATGTCGTGTCCTTTGTTGACAGGCGCCTAAGCTGGGACGGAGTTTGTGAATTTGACGGCCTGCTTGCGGGCTCGTTTAATATTAGCCTCAAGGTGAAGCGTGGACATTCCGACCAACGCGTCATCATCCGTTTTCCATTACCCGGGAAATCATACGGGCCGTGGGGGGAAGAAAAGGTCAAAAACGAAGCACTAACTATGGCCTACATCCGCAAGCATACCCATATCCCAACAGAAGACTGTATCATTGTTGGAAGTCGTGGGTGTTGGACGATCGCTCGGTGGCAAAGCCCTTGAACATTCTCCGGCTTTCATAACTGTGTATAATTTGGGTAGCTCTTCCCATTTCCATTTCAATAGTCACAGTCAAAATGTCGCAGGGTAGGCATGATCTTCACGGCCTCAGGAAACGGCACCATCTAGGCGGTACAGTTACAGGCCCGTACACTTAGTCAGCAACACCCACTGTAATATTGTGTTGAACAGGTGCTGGGGTCTCACGTGCAAGCAGGGATATTTTAAGATTACAACCGAAATGGTAAAACCTCTAAGGGGCAGAATTAAACAGAACACAACATGAATATACCAATCTGGATCAATGGACCGAATACACGTAATGTCTGACACTACCTTGATCCGATGTACCGAAATGCACGGGCCGTGCGGACTAGCCAATCATATAACACAATCTCAATCTCTACAACCATATCAAAAAAATTTCACCAAACTTCAAATTCGTCGCAACACTGCAATCTGGCTTAAAATCAATTTATATGGTAGGAAAATACTCACTTTATTATTATCTTTCTATATATACTACTTTTATATATTTTACTTACTATAATGTCTTTGACCTTGCCCCCTCACTTTTTTCTACGACCTTACCCCCCATAGTTCAATAGCGTGGTTTTTTTTTTCTCTAGCATTTTCTACGACCTAGCATGCAAAGTCGTAGCTGAATGGTTGATAGGAAGAGGAAGATGCCGGCAACCGAGCAAGCCTCTTCACGGCCAATACAGCGTTTTTTTGGTGACGAGCAGGAGAAGAAGGTCCTAACTCCTTATGCGGCTGCTTTCTATAACGACGAGATGAATGGAGTAGATGGAGTGACCAACTTAGGTCCTATCTTGGGTATAAGCATCGTTTCCGGCGTGGCTCTTGGCACTCATTAGCTTGGTCCTTCCTTCTTGATGTTACCCTTCTTAACAGGTATTTCTTACAGCTTCACGGCCGGCCAAAATGGAGATCAATACAAAGTCAGAGAGAGTGGCGATACCTTCTTATTGACGAGATCTTTAAGGAATATCACGATAATAGTTCACGGCAAAGGCTACTCACTGGGGACGAATGGACCGCCTTTGAAGCTGACAAATTCATAGATAGGAAGAAATACTCGGAAAGCTTTGCTTGTCAAGGTCATCAAGTCAGAAGGAAACGCCAAAAAAGGAAGAAATTGGCATCAATAAGTGGTAACATCACGGGAAAACGGAAGCATCAATCTCACTACTGCTCTGAGCAGTGTGGTGTGTGGTGTATCGATTTGTAACAGCCGAGATTGTGGGTACTTCTATCACGAGCCACCTTTGGTGTGCAGCTAGGTACTTCTCATTTACCGCATTTCAATTGGCTATATCTCCGCTTCGGTACGCCACCTGTGTTTTATGCTAAACGGCGGTTGCCGGTCCGACAACTGGGGGATTTGGAGGTGGGGGTGGGGATTTAAGTTTGGGGGAAACTGAGGGTCATCAACCGACAGAATGGTCTCCCCAAGATGCGGGGGATTTGATGGCCCCATGGAGTTAGCATCAGAGGAATCGGGGGGCAAGGGCCTCGATCATGTGGTGGATTTGACTGGTTTGTCTGAGAATCAGCCGCTGACCAGTCGAGTTGGAGCAAAACTGCTGTACCACGATCATGATGATGAGTATGCTAATATGTAGACATTCCATAAAATATAGATTTTGTGAGCTTCGGGTGCTTTTATAGTATATAACATCATCAAAGTTGAGCTGCTTGCTGTCGACCATGCCTGTATATCTACGACACCATCCCTCTGCTTCCTACGTAGGTGGTTGAACCATCGACACCACAAAGTTAAGGTTAGGTCCATGGATAAGGTTTTCCATCTTCAACTGCAGCTGTCACGCCATCTACCTAGCCTTATAACGCCGCATTGCGTGAAGACGTTGGCGAGGCGCCCATTTACCAACATAGCGTGTGCATGGATGAAGAAAATTAAGATATTGGCAAATTTTACCTGCCTTCTATTTTACATTAGACGCAAAACGCCCATACCTAAGGAAAACTTATATAATATTATAATATTTATACAGTGATTTATAAAATAAAATAATCTAATTTATCTAAACTTATGATAATATCTCAGGATCTTGAGATTCTCTTCCGCTGGAGCTAGGATGTTGATTGAACCCGTCATCATTAAGCAACACCCCCACAAAAGGGCCGACTCATTCATGGCCTTTTCGCGCGCGCTATAATGAAACGCCCCTGGAGTGCCACTAGGGAACTGTCACCTGCTGACTCTTTGCCCTGTAAAAAGACAAGAGAGCAAAAACTATCATGAAATGTTAGTATCACTCTTGAGATCAAAAGTATGCTTCTTTGGTGCTGCTGAATATCTCGCGCTTGTCGTTGTGGCAAAGATGTTCATCGCATCGCGAGTAGAGTTACTTGAAAACAGACTTGCCAAAAAAAAGTAATGCACAGTTCGGCACCTGCGTCGCCGAGCCGGCCTGGCCCGGGTCTTGGCTCGGAGAGGATCCACTTTAATCCCGGCAATTAATGACGTCTCTCCAAATATCGCTTGTGGATCATGATTTTATGTCAGGGCACGAGAACAGCAAGACTTGGGGAAATGGAGTCTTCTGGAGAAGCCTAAGTCGTCTGCAGAATGCTTGACGTAATATTGAACATGTGTTGCAGGAAGACATCAGATAGTTTAGCATGACCAGCGGCCAAAAGCATACGCAAGCGTCCTTTAAGCTTGTACACACTCTATTCCCTCTCCACCTCTCAGCTCTCTCCAATGTCATTCACAAAAATCAGCAAACGAAAAAGAAAGCCACCCATTGCTCTAGTCCAGCACCACCCTCGGGCAATATGCGGCGAGGCGTGTGATGGCAGACCTCGTCAACTCCGCTGTGACGACATGGATGAGTTGAGTTGAGTTGCCCCGAGAAATACAACCCTGCCGGCGATCTCTGTTCCCCCCATGGCCAATCACATGGCCTCCCCCCCCCACCATGTCCCCCAAGCTCAATCCCCAGAAATTAGTGGCGACCCCAGCTTTTCCCACTGACTAGCTTGCCATTACTGCAGTAGCTCATCACCAGCTCGCCATTGTAAGGTCATGGTGTGCTGCTCCGCATCTAAAGCCCCCCTCTAGGCTTTACTCGGCCAAGCCGTGTAGTTCCTTGGATAGCTGGGAACCGTGCACTCCTCATGTTAGCCAGCTTGATGCGCGAGGTGAGTTTATTGTGTGCAGACCGTTTGCATACAGCTTCGCTTACTAGTTTGATCGACTGTGTTTGTGTTTAAAAAGAGACAATCTCCCGCGTTTGCAACGGAGCTTGTTACCAGGTCATCTCACACAGAAAACATTGCTGGGCTTTGCTTTCTCTTTCTTGTTCATACACAAGTTTGACTCTTATCTGGGGACGTTGATCATCACGATGAATGCTTTTCGAAGGGCATCCCTTCCCAAGCCCGAGGAGGCAGGCAAAGCATGGCCTGCCATCGCCATTGGCATGTTTGTTGCCTTTGGTGGTATCCTCTATGGGTATGTCCCTTACTTCCAAGCTCATCAGCAGAAAGGTGTAACTAATCGTCGTCATCCTTAGTTATGATACCGGTACCATCGCCGGTATTCTTGCCATGCCCTACTGGCAGCGTCTCTTCAGCACTGGCTACACAGACGCCAAAGGCAATCCTAATATCACAACATCGCAAGAATCAGCCATTGTTTCCATTCTCTCTGCCGGCACCTTCTTTGGCGCCCTGTCGTCCCCATTCATGACAGACCACATCGGTCGTCGCCCAGGTTTGATGATAGCCACTTGGGTTTTCAACCTCGGTGTGGCTCTCCAGACTGCTGCTACTGCTATTCCTATGTTCATGGCTGGCCGATTCTTTGCTGGTTTGGGCGTTGGTCAGATCTCCGCTATCAGTAAGTCTTCCACCTACCGCACAACGACCCAACCCGATAAATCGAGAAAGAGCCCAACTGAGTCGATTTATTCTCTTTAATCATCATTGACATTTGAGAGTCTAAGCCTAACGCTGCCTAGTCCCCCTCTACCAGTCCGAGACAGCACCTAAGTGGATTCGAGGTGCCATCGTCGGAGCATACCAATGGGCCATTACAATTGGTCTTTTACTCGCAGCCATTGTAAACAATGCTACAGGCAAGCGTAACAACACTGGTTCTTACCGAATCCCCGTCGCCGTCCAATTCGCCTACTCCCTCGTCCTCTTCGGCGGCATGCTCATCCTCCCCGAGACTCCTCGATTCCTTGTCAAGAAGAACAAACCCGAGAAGGCTGCCCGTGCTCTTGCTAGAATCCGCCGGCTTACTCCCGATCATCCTGCAATCCACGCCGAGCTTGCTGAGGTTAAAGCAAACCACGACTACGAAACGAGCCTCGGAACGGCTTCCTATCTTGATTGCTTCAAACCACCTATTCTGAAGCGCCAGTTCACAGGCTGTGCACTTCAGGCTTTGCAGCAGTTGACCGGCATCAATTTCATTGTAATTTTTCCTCATAAACCTTTGTCGGCTTTAGAATTGACTAACAACCTTCCAGTTCTACTATGGAACCAAGTACTTCCAAAACTCGGGTATTTCCAGCGGCTTCACCATTTCCATGATCACGTCTGCAATCAACGTTGCTTCTACTGTTCCCGGAATGTACGCTATCGACAAATGGGGTCGGAGGCCTCTTCTATTCTGGGGTGCCATCGGCATGTGTGTCTCACAATTCATCGTGGCCATGACGGGCACCTTCTCCACCGGCCAGAACAGGGACGGCACCATCTTTGTCAAGAGTCTTGCCGGACAAAAGGCTGCCGTTGCTTTTGTGTGTATCTATATCTTCTTCTTCGCGTCTACCTGGGGTCCCCTGGCCTGGGTCGTCACTGGCGAGATCTTCCCCCTCAAGACCCGTGCCAAGTCTCTCAGTATGACCACTGCGACCAACTGGCTCTTCAACTGGGCTATTGGTAAGTTGTTTCGCCATAATACACGGA